TTTCTTTTTTCCAATGTGCATTTCACAGCTCCAGCAGCTAAAGAGGCTCTGAGGCGCCCTGGGCTCTTGTCCCTGCGCTGCTCTTGTTCAGCCTGTAGCCCAAAACCCCCTCCTCCGCATCCTGACCTCCGAAGGCAGCGACGCGTCCCATCACGGAGTCTCTTCCCTCCCAGTCCAGCAAACCGCTGCCGGCTGAGCCCCTGGGTTCCATGGCAGTCTGTATAAACACACACTCTTGGCCACTGCGCAGCTCACATCTGCCCTCCACCCCAAGGTCCCAGAGCTCCTCATGGGGGGCCAGGGATGGCTGCCTTTCAAACGAGGAGCAAGGTATTGCAGCTCCTTCCCCAGCTCACCAGGTTCTTGTTAGTGGCTCTCCGGCCAGGCCCGCTGTCTGTTGCAGCCCTGCGAAGTCAAGGCAGGTGCTGCCTTAGGCAGACACCCCTGCTGCGTCCATGGGGACGACCAGCCTGCGGCGCATGTGTGGGTTTGGCCAAAGGCTGGAAAACAAAGCCAACTCCCCCTCTCCCAGCAGGAAGATATTAGGACAGTGCAGATATGCCTGACTGAATGACTGAATGGCTAGGGCTCAGCCAGGGTCTGAATGTGGGAGATCATGGCTGAACCCAACTCCCTAACAATTTCACCTCCCAAAAATACCTGTTCTATACTTCTATCACCATACCCAACAATCCTCCAGGGTTCCTCCCAGGCTCCTGCCCACCAATTACTTCCCTCTCCCTCAGCTCCTCCTGATTCCCCCAAGCACTTGGATTGCTTCTGAGTGGTGTGGGAAATACAGTTCTGTATTGTAGTTTAAATTAATTTTTATTTAAAGTTTTATGTTAATATTCCCAGTAAGGCATCTATTTATCCAAAAACACTAACTAAATCTTTTGGGCTACGTCTACACTATGAATTTTCTCTGCAAAAATATGCAAATCAGGGACTCATTTGCATGAGTCACGCTCTCATTTGCATATTTTCTGCCAATCCATTTTTGCGCTGGGGTTTTTGTACAAAAACAAGCAGCGTGGACGTTTTCTTTTTGTGCAAAACCCCCCTTTTTCCGCATGATTGGCATGGGGCATAAGGATCTTGCAGAAAAAGGGGGGTTTGCGTAAAAAGAAAACGTCCACGCTGCTTGTTTTTGTACAAAAACCCCAGCGCAGAAAATATGCAAATGAGATCACGACTCATGCAAATGAGCCCCTCGTTTGCATATTTTTTGCCGGAAAAAAGTCGTAGTGTAGATGTTGCCCCAGACGCACAAACCCACCAAGCCCCAGAGCCTCGATTCAGGGTTGGCGCCTGCTCCCCACAAAGAAGGGGGTGCTGGAGTGTATGGGGCTTGCTCCGATATTTGGGGTCTGGGCACCAATCTCTGGGGCCCTGCCTGTGTCTGGTGAGGCTGGGGGGGGATGTGTCGTTGTGCAAGGGTCCGTGTTTCTGATTCGGAGCCAGGAGGATTGCTCTCCACAAAGGCCAAGGCCAGGGCCGCTTAGTACAATGGTTACACATTAACTCCCTTGTTTGTGCCCGTATTTTCCAGCTAGCGCCGTGCTCACCATGGCCTGGGTCCACAGAGCATTCCCAGCACGAGCCTCGTGCGTGGGGCGGTAGCAAAGGTAGTGCACAGCCACGGGGCACCCGGAGATCCCGGCGGCGCTGCTCCCAAAGCCCTTTAACCCGCCCCTTGCTCTGTCGACGACTCTGTGTTCACTAAACTGCCGCACGAGGAATAACAGGAGCCCAAGGGGAGGGGTGTTAATGGGGATTCGGTGCCAGGGGAGCAGCCTCTCCCCGTGGCCTGGTGCAGGAGGGGAGCGGCCCCAGCCACCCCACCCCACCCCCCCTACAGGGTGGGAGCCAGAAGCCCTGTGTGGGGCCGGAAGAAGCCGGGCTGGAGCAGCCCCCACCCTTGGTGGGGGGGGCACAGAGGGAGGGGGGCCACTGTGGCCCAACCAGGCCCTCCCGCCCAGCCCCGCTTAATCAGGTAACCAGTTAAACTTAACGTTTAACCCATTAACGAATTCAACTGGGTGTGAGCCCGAGAAAGGGCAGCCATGATCGCCCAAACCCTGCATGGGAGAGCTCGCCGGGCTGGAGCAGCCCCCACCCTTGGTGGGGGGGGCACAGAGGGAGGGGGGCCACTGTGGCCCAACCAGGCCCTCCCGCCCAGCCCCGCTTAATCAGGTAACCAGTTAAACTTAACGTTTAACCCATTAACGAATTCAACTGGGTGTGAGCCCGAGAAAGGGCAGCCATGATCGCCCAAACCCTGCATGGGAGAGCTCGCAAGCAGCTGGACTGCCGCCCCCTGCTGGGAAAGGGGTGAACGCTGAAGAGCAGAGGGGGGATCCGCATGTGGGGAGCTAAGCCAGCTCCATTCCCCCCCCCCCATCCCCCTTCTCCTGGGACACGAGGTTCTCCCGCGCCTGGCAGCCAGGCCAGCCCGGGGGAAGGGGGGGATGTTCAGCCGTCACGCATGACGGCCACTTCCCCCCCCTGCTGCCACAGCTGTGATCTCACAAGCAAACAGAGCACGGCAGAAGCAGCCGGGGGAAAGGCATTTCAAAGCTGGCGGATGGCCTGTTCCCAGGCCACCACCCTCCCGGCCTCAGCACCCCACAGAGCAGGACAGAGGGACACGGAGAGGCCTGCCGGTCACACACGGAGCCACACGAGGGCCAGTTTCACACGGCAGCTCTTTGAATTCCCTTCCGGGCAGGGCCTCTGACTGACTCGGTGAAGGGGTGGTCAGGGGACTGGGGGCCCTCATTAACACTCCGTAGCTCTCCGGTACCAAAAGGAGGGAGGATGGGAAACCAGGACCCTGACATTGGCAGCCCCCAGGAACAACGGAGACCAAAGCTCCCGTCAGCCTGATTGACAGGCTGAGCAGGCTACTTAGGGAATCAAGGGCATGGAGGGATGTTCCGTCCTCCATGTGAGCTGGATTTGCGTGGGTCAGACCGAGTGGGGCCGAGGTAGGGAGAGAGCAGGGGCCAGAGTTGAGGTGGGGGGCAGAGCCAGGCCAGCCAGAGAGAGCCAGAGAAGCGGAGTCAGAGCTGCAATCCTGCTGAGACAGCCAAGGGTGGGACCCAGCACAGGGAAAAGCCACCAGCCAAGAGGCCTCACAGGCAGGACTTGGAGGGGGAGGCCGTAACCCCAATGCTGGGTGGGGGGGAGCGCCGGGGGGAAGAGACGGATGCTGGAAAGAAGAGGCCTGCTACTCTAGTCTGAAGGCCTCCCCCAGAGCTAACGTTGGACCTGCAGCATCCCTGCAGCGCTGCCGGGACCTGCGAGCGGCTCCCACCTTCCAGAGCTTACTCTGCCTGTCAAATATTCCTCCCACAGCTGGAGTTCGAGAACTCACTCTTCACTCTTCTACTTTAAACAGCCCCTTGTGGCCACTGCCTTGCACCTCCCCAGAGTGGCTGCATTGCAGCAGCAGATACATATCACGTGTCCTGTGGACACCAGCCTGGGGGTCGGCAACGTCGAAGTGCGGGGCGGGTCGCCCTCGCTGCCGTGGGGCGGCTCCACCCTGTCACAGCTCGCAAGCTGTGAAAATCTACTCGCCACGGGTGAGTGGGTGAGCGGATTTGTGGAGCCCTGCTTATTAGCCAGGATGGAGACTTCTCTCTTCTTGGAAAAGGCCTGAAACTACTGGGTTATTTGGCAGCATAGCCTAGTGGCTAGTGAACTGGGCCACCTACGAGTGCGACCGCGAGTCCGTCAACATGAGGTGGAACTGCCGGAATCTGGGGGAGCATCTTTCGTAAGCAAGTCGGTTTTAAATGAGGTGGGACTTGGGGTACCCGAGACACGTCAGACTCCCAAAAGGGGGACAGATCGGAAAAGCTGAGTCCCTGCCTTACAGCACCACACAATGGGAGACATTTCGAAAGCCGTGAACACTTTGAAGAACCGCTTCCAAGTGATGCTGCTGCAACTTACCTTTTATTAGGTGCATTGTTAACAGCGCATCTTTTCCTGCATTGTATAATGTGGACATATGAGTAACTATTGAATACACGTGGAGGTACTGACCTCTGTCATATTTTCACTGACATACTCCTAAGCCAGAGCCAGTAGCAATACAGAACCATTACAGGAAATACAAATCGGTGTGGAAGGCACAGCCAACCTGCACGCCTTATAGGCCTGAGAGAAGACGACAGTTGCTTAGCAGTGAACGTTTTGCTTACAGCTACGCCAGGTCATGGCGAGTGAGCGTGCCTAGCGTGTGTGCCTTACTTGCTTAACTCTGCGCCGGGTCACGAGCAGTGTGCCCTGTAAGCGGTGCTTTTGTGCAGCTGCTCAGGAGAAATTCCAATGCCGGCCAGCTGATTAGCAGAGCCCCCACAGCTAGATTTGTGTTTTGCCGGGTAGTGCACATGCCTCGGTGCATCTAACACAATTTTATTCCGCACATGGATGGGAAAAATATCCACCCATGGATGGAAAAGAGGGAATATAGGTCATGAGGTATCTGTTTAAGCAAAACTGAAACTATAATGAGGGGGGGGGGGCAGGTGGCACAACCCCAGGAGCAGGCCTACAGCACCTGCTTGGTATTTAATAGGACAGCCTGCAGCCACCTCGCCTCTTTGCTATAGAGGTGCCACGTGTTTGGTGACAGATTCCAGCGCACAAGAGGGGGGGGGCCAGCCACAAGGTGCCCCGCACAATTCTGTGGCTGGCATGATGCACACTAGGCAGCCGCCTGCATGCAGAGAAATCTCATGCTGCCCTCTAGCTAGAATCCTTTTGCTGAACTGCACACAGAGGGCCAGGTGGTCCAACGAATTCAGTGCCCAACTAGGGAACCTCTGACCGGCTTATTTCAGGCCTAAATGGGAGCGGCGCTCCTTTGAAAATCCAGCCTAAATGTACAGGGAATCACAGAGAAAGGCAGGGCTGTGTAGAGGTGCTGCAGGGGTGTCACCTAGCTCAGCTCTAGGCAGTGTAGCCGACAGGCGGAACTGAACCGGGGGAGCCGCTACAGCCTGAGCGAAAAGCCCTGCAATTCAGGCCCCCAGCGGCTGCACAGGCCCTGCTGCCCGAGCCAGCCAGACTCTGCCGGCTAGGCCACAGCCCAAGCTCCAGGCTAAGACCCCATGCCGGGTGTCTGTACACTCCCCGACCCCCTTCCCCGGCACTCCATGACCTGGTCACCGCTGAACTCCAGGGCGCCTGGAGGTGGGGCCGAGGGTGTCCGTGGGACCCCTGCAGGGTCCGGGGCCCGCTCCACGTCCCGGCACGGGTGGTGCTGTCGGAGCTCAGCACTTGCAGCTGAAGCAGAGCCCCCAGGTGGGGGCCCCCCGCCGTGGGCCCTGCAAACTCGTTGGCCGGGCCGGAGTGCATAGTTATCGATTTCGGTCCAGCAGCAGAGCAAGCCAGCCACGTCCTATCTGCCAGAGCGAGCACACGTTCTTCCACGGACGTTTTTGTGAGCAGTGTCAACTAATACAACCCATCTACCGATCTCCGGGTGTCCGTCAGATCAGGCACGTGGCCTCAAGGAGCAGCCGAACACCCGCACGCCTACCGGCCCCTGCAGTCCGCAGCTCAGGCCCCTGTCTGGTTCTGGAAGCCACTGTAGGTGAATGGGGGCAGAACTGGTGAGCACAAGGCCGTTGACTTGGAGAGGCAGGCAAGATGGCTGACTTCACAGCTGCTGAGGTCCTGGTCACTTCTGAAATAGACGCCATCAGCGGAGTGACTAGAGGGGTCTTCGTTGAAATAGTTGTAGGGTCTCAGGAAAAAGCCGACTCCATTCCCCACTGTCACCGTGTTAGGGACATCCTCCGAGTGCGGGACATGCAGGAAACCAACTGAAATCCAGGCAACCAGGTCCTGGAAGAGGAAGAGACGCATCACTGGGTCAGGAAAAACATCCTTTAGTGGTCAGGAGAACTCCTAGCCAGGAGACCACGCCCGGGGCAGACCACGGAGCAATGACCCGGCACCTCAACGCGCACAGGGAATAACCCTGCTGCTGTGACATGAACTCTTCCAGCCAGCATGGTGTCTACCCCCGCCATGGGAAGGCCCAGCTGGGGAAGGCGAGCTCCAGCCCCGCCCCTTCCGCCTGAGGCCCCGCCCCTGGAACCAAGCCCCACCCATCCCTAGCCCAATATTTCCTCGCCACCTAGAGGGCTGAGGCTGCGGTGCTGCAGCCCTGGCCCCAGCCCTCCCTGGTGACTGGGGAGCCGGGCTGCCACGCCATGACCCCAGCCTCCCCCAGCAATCAGGGGCGTGTCCCCATCCCCACAGTGGGCTGGACTCCCCATCTGCCTTGCTGTGTATCTGTCTGTCTGTCCTGCACCCTGTCCCCCCCCCCTCCGGTGGAAGGAGAACCCAGCTCACCTCGTTTACGATGGTCTCATTGTTTATGAAGTCAGCGAAGGCCACAGTGGGCGTCCAGGGGTCGTTCTGGTTGTAGATGCTGCTACTTGTCGGTTCCTCCTCTTTCCGTTTGGTGACGGCCAGTTTGTACCTAACGGGCAGAGGGAAAAGACTCACTGGTTCTCTGCAATGCCTGGGCGACCACATCTGCGCTGGCAGCCTGGCCGCCTGAATTCTGCTTCATGAGCCTGGGCCAGGCCCCCCTCTTCTCTGCCCCAAGGGAGTGCCAGGCTCAGACAGCATGGCTACATCTAGACTGGCATGATTTTCCGGAAATGCTTTTAACGGAAAAGTTTTCCGTTAAAAGCATTTTCAGAAAAGAGCGTCTAGATTGGCACGGACGCTTTTCCGCAAAAGCACTTTTTGCGGAAAAGCGTCCGTGGCCAATCTAGATGCGCTTTTCTGCAAAAAAGCTCCGATGGCCATTTTCGCGATCGGGGCTTTTTTGCGGAAAACAAATCTGAGCTGTCTACACTGGCTCTTTTACGCAAAAGTTTTGCGCAAAAGGGACTTTTGCCCGAACGGGAGCAGCGTAGTATTTCCGCAAGAAGCACGGATTTCTTACAGTAGGAAGTCAGTGCTTTTGCGGAAATTCAAGCGGCCAGTATAGACAGCTGGCAAGTTTTTCCGGAAAAGCGGCTGATTTTCCGGAAAAACTGGCCAGTCTAGACACAGCCCATGTGTTTGTAAAGGGCGCTGGGTGGAGTGCGAGTGATCCACCCCCCTGCACATCAGCTGGGCTGGGACCCCCTTCGCACGGCAGCTGTCTATGGAGAGCACCCAGGAGAAGACCCCCAAGGAACAGGAATATCGACTCACAGGAACTGGAAGGGACCTCGAGAGGCCATTGAGCCCGGTCACCTGCCCTCACGGCAGGACCCAGCACCATCTAGCTCAGTGGCCTCCAACCTTTTAAAGCACAAGATCACTTTTTTAATTTAAGTGCAATTCAGGATCCACCTCAAACCCAAAAACTCTGTCCCCGCCTCCTTCCCACTCCTTCCCCAAGGCCCCGCCCCTGCTCACTCCATCCTCCCTCCTGCCCCCATCCTCACTCACTTTTATCAGGCTGGGGGCAGAGGGCTGAAGTGCGGGGAGCGGGAGGCAGACTGTGATCTTGGGCTAAAGGATTTGGAGTGTGGGAGGGATTCTGAGCTGAGCATGGGGCAGGGAGTTGAGGTGCAGGAGGAGTGTCAGGGTGCAGGGAGACTCAGGGAGTTTGGAGGGCAGGGGCTTGGGGTGCAGGAAAGGCTCAGGACTGGGGCCAGGATTCGGAATGCAGGCTCCAGCTGGGCACTGCTTACCCCAGGTGGCTTCTGGGCGGTGGTGCAGGGGGCTAAGGCAGGCTCACCCCTCCCCTGGCCTTGCACCACTCCCAAAAGCAGCCAGTAAACTCTCTCCATCCCTGCCCGCCACCACTCTGTGACGATGAGGTACAGGGTGTGGGGAGAGGCACCCTGACATCAGCTCCCCCTCCTCTTCTTCCTGTGCTCTGCATAGCAAGCAGGCCCCCAGGGATGAAGGCAGGAGCAGCACGGCAGTGCTGAGAGGGGCAGCTGAAGTGCTGGCCCTTGCTAGCCTCCTGGCCAAACCTGGCAGGATCACCTGCCAAAGGCTCCAAGATCTACTAGTCGGTGCCGATCGACTGGTTGGTAACCGCTGGTCTAGCTCCTCCCTGGGAGAGGTTTAAGGGAGAGGATGGATAAGAGAGAGGATACGAAAGGGGAGGGCTGTGGAACCCTGCAGCCCCCTCATGCGCAGACAGAAGAGTAACGGAGAACAGGGCCCGGCTCTGGAGTGCGCTGTGGAGGGCTGCATAGAGGAGCCTAGAGCACTGGCTACCTGGGCCGTGGGAGCCCCCACGCCAACAGCTGCCTCCCAATGGGCACCCCACTGCAGAGTTCAAGGCAGCAAGACTCAATGTACAGGCGCTTAGTGAACGTTTCTGCCCATCTGGCTTCGCAGGGAGGCGAGATGGGTGAGACAATGCTCTTTCCTGGCCCTCACCTGCCTTGTCTCCCTCATATCCTGGGCCCGACATGGTTACAGCAACACTGCCTGCAGGTATGGAGACTCGTAAGAACATAAGAACGGCCACACTGGGTCAGACCAAAGGTCCATCTAGCCCAGTGTCCTGTCTGCCAACAGTGGCCAATACCAGGTGCCCCAGAGGGAGTGAACTGAACAAGTAATGATCAAGCGATCTCTCTCCTGCCATCCATCTCCGCCCTCTGACAAACAGAGGCTGGGGACACCATTCCTTACCCATCCTGGCTAATAGCCATTAATGGACTTAACCTCCATGAATTTATCTAGTTCTCTTTTAAACCCTGTTATAGTCCTGGCCTTCACAATCTCCTCAGGCAAGGAGTTCCACAGGTTGACTCCTAGCCTGTCAGGCCTGGAGAGACCATTAGAGCTACCCTATCCCTCCTTTTCAGGATAGGTTGGCCATTAAATTTCACCCCGTTACTCCTGTATCGAGCCTCAGAGCTTCAGAAAGGCCCCCAGTCCTGGTCGGAAGGCATTGCGAGGCAGAGTTCTGCCACCCTGGGAATTCATTCGCAGGGAAAATTGCGGGAAACTAGCCCTCGTTTCTCACTTGAATTTGTCTGGCTCCAGCTACGAGCCAACGAAGGGCCGCAGAGAAGCAATTCTGCCACGTTTCCCTTCCATTTGAAAGGCCAAGCATAACCAGACAGGGCTGTGCCATGCCATCAGTACTGTAACAGGCGCATCCTAATCAGGGGCGCAAAGACTTAATAAGTAAAAATAATAAGCTGCAATAAGTAAAAATAAGGGCATGATGCAGGCTAAGCTAAGTCCCAGTAAAGGCGCGTAAAGCAACGTTATAAAAAGTATTAGAGCCACTTGTCTGAAGTCATTGGAATTATTCTGCTGGAAAATTGGGAGAAGACTGGACTCAGGCCCCAAGTAATTATTAAAGAGAAGCCTTCCAAGTATCCCTCTTGTGTCCCCAGTTCTGCTCCCACACTTCTATAAACTGGTGAGACTACAGAGTTACTTACACTAAAGGAACAAATCCAAGAGTTTTTTACATTCCTTGTATGAATCATTTTTGTGTCAACCTGTGGAACTCCTTGCCAGAGGAGGCTGTGAAGGCTAGGACTATAATAGAGTTTAAAGAGAAGCTAGATAATTTCATGGAGGTTAGGTCCATAAAAGTCTACTAGCCTGGGGATAAAATGGTGTCCTTGGCCTCTGTCTGTCAGAGGCTGGAGAGAGATGGCAGGAGACATATCGCTTGATCATTGTCTTCAGTCCACCCTCTCTGGGGCACCTGGTGCTGGCCACTGTCAGCAGACAGGATACTGGGCTAGATGGACCTTTGGTCTGACCCAGTATGGCCGCTCTTATGTTCTTATGTTCTTATTTTGCCATGTATTATACGTTTCCTTTATTTATATTATTGTTTGCTAAGAATCACATTTTATTTACTGATTGTTATTTTTTTTAATTATCTACGTAAAATATGTTCCTAATATTATTGAAAAATTATTTTTGTTATATTACTATGCTAATTAATACATTTCTGTTGATTTTTTCAGTTTGATTTTGGTGGATTCATAATTTTGTTGAAGTAAAGGTAAATAAAAAATAGTAAACTAGAAACATTTTTTAATTTGGAGGAGGGGGGGCACATAATTAATATTTTGCCACGGGCACAACAATACCCAGTTACGGTGCTTCATGCCATAGGCCTGGGTCAAGTCCCAGCCCAGATCTACGGCATGGCCCTGTCTGATTTCCCACTCCAAACAGAGCAGAGAGAAAGTCAGCGAAGCACAGGGTTGCCACCTTTGGGTGGCCGAATTCCTGGAGATTTCATCCCCCGATGTAACTTTTAACAACAGATTGATCTTTGGTTCCTGGAGACGCCAGGACAAACCTGGAGGACTGGCGACCGTAGCAAAGAGCCGTGGCCCAGTGGAAAGGGAATTGGGGGGTTGAAATATTTTGGGGATTGTGTCATCAGCGAAACAGCTGGGCTGAGCCTCCTCTGGGCCCCTCCTCATTTCTCCATCTCTGGGCTGTGCCTGGACCCTGTTAAAATAGCCGTTGGAGCTATGCCTGGACCCTTTTAAAATCTATTTTTATCTTCACTCACATCTCCCCAGGCTCCAGCAACTGGGTGGAGCCGGGGAGGGGGAGCGAGCCGCAGGGATATTTACATCCTTTCCCTTTGGCGGTTTTCCTTGCTGGTGAGAAGCTGGCTAGCAGCACCAGGAGTACGTGCAGAGGCTGAGCTAGGGCAGAGCAGGGAACAGCATCTGCAGAGATCACACCATGTCTGCATCTGCTCTGGCTCCGTTGCTCTGTGTCTCACGCCTCTGTTGTCCCAACGAGACCCCTGTCCTGGGTGAGCGAGCTCGGAGGCCTATAATCCAGCTGGTGCATCGATCATCACACAGGATTACGGCTTCCCCAAGCAAGGCCGGATGGAAACTGGGTGCAGCACTGAATTCCCTCCTTTCTCTTGGCATCAGCCGGGAGAGTCCCTCCAACCCAGGAAGGTGCAAGGAACCCCATGGAGCAACTAGGGAGTAACTGGTTCCCCGACTACTGAGCTAGCAATGTTTGGCTCAGGCCATGAAGCAGGAGGGTTGCCGATGAGGGGAAGCAGTGAATGGGGCAGTTGGCTCTGAGCCACTATTTCAGCATCTAGAACCGTGGGTCCTTTAAATCTCCGCCAGAGCCCTGCACAACATAGTCCGGGCAGCACTGAGGGCTGGCTGGTAGAAGATAGTACCACCCCTTTGGGTGGGGGGGAGGAGCTGGAGTTAATCCCTCCCCACATTGCCGAGGGCCTGGCGAAATCTGGCATCAGCTCTGGTGCTGACCCTGCCTTTGCAGCTCGTGGTCCCCGCAGGGCACTGACCCAGAGGGGCGGCAGTTCTTTAAGCACAAGTGGGAATTGCTTGATTTCAATCGAAGCGAAAACCCCTACCTCCCCCAGCTGATGGACCGCTCCATGGAACTGGCTTCTGGCAGGGGGTCCCCGGCAAAGCTGATGATCTGGATCCTGTAGCCACGCTGGTGGCCCCACTTGTTTTCCAGGTTGGTGGCAAAGTGGATGTATCTGGGCATCTTGGAATGCAGCGGGAACACGGCCTTGTCCTCGGTGTCCAGGACTGTCTTGGTGAGGCGTGGCCGGTGGATCTGGTGCTCCGGGCTCCACGGAGCCTGCACGGCATCGAACGTCATGTCATGGGCCACCAGAGAATTCTTTAGTCCTGCCAGGCAAAGACAAAAGCCCAGAGAACCTGCACCCCGTGGCCACCTGGCCTTCCCCAGCAGTCAGTGGCCCCGGCACAGGTTTTCCAGTGGGGGTGTTGAAAGCCATTGGTGCAACCCCCTCTCCCCACCGAGTCCCGTCCGACCCCTCCACCCTCCAGAGCTGGGGCCGGAGTGGGGCTGTGGGAAACGCAAGCAGGGTTAAAGAGGCCAAGGCTGGGAGTCTGCCTGTGGGGCGGGAGCAAAGCTCCCTGTGTGGGGCTGGTGGGACCCTGCACGTGGACTCCAGCTGCAGAGCTGTGCCCAGAACTCTGAGCACAGAGCCAGTGGCAGCCAGAAGCCAGAAGCGGTAGCCAGAGCCCCACATACAGAGCCCCAGGTACGGGGCTGAAGACAGCCAGGGCCCCACATGTGGGGCCAGGAGCAGAGCCTTGAACCCCAGGCACAGGCCAGCAGCTGGGACTGTAGGTACAGGGCCAGAAGTGGAGCACTAGGCACTAGGACCTTGGCTATGGAGTGGCATGTGGGTGCTGTCCCCTCCCCCCCCCCCCCCCCCTCCCCAACCCCTTGTTCCTGCGCCTGTGGTTGTATCGCACCCTGGCCTGTTCCCAACTTTCATTAAAACTAATAAAAGAAAGTTCTTCTTCACACAGCGTGTAGTCAACCTGCGGAACTCCTTGCCAGAGGAGGCTGTGAAGGCTAGGACTATAATAGAGTTTAAAGAGAAGCTAGATTAATTCATGGAGGTTAGGTCCATAAAAGGCTATTAGCCAGGAGATAAAATGGTGTCCCTGGCCTCTGTTTGTCAGAGGCTGGAGAGAGATGGT